AATGTTGCCTAACCTAAGATCATAAAGATTAACTCCTATGCCTTCTAAGAATTTTGTAGCTTAGAATTTACATATAGGTCTATGATCCACTTTGAATAGTATGAGATAAAGTGGAAGTTCATTCTTTTGCATGTGAATACAAAGTTCTCCCTGTACCATCTGCTGAGGAGACCATAATTTCCCTATAGAATAGCTTTAGTTCTTTATTAAAAATCAGTTGACCATAAATTATTATTTCTGGACTTCCGATTCTATTCCATTGATCTGCATATCTATGGTTATGACATTATCCTATTTTGTTGTTATAGCTTTGTAGCAGGTCTTGAAATGGGGAAATGTGAGTCCACCAAATTTGTTCTTTTTACCCTAGGGGCTATATTGGTTATTCTAGGTCTCTTGCATTGCCATAATAATTTTAGGATCAGCTCATACATTTCTGCGTAAAAGCCAGTTGAAATTTTGGTAGAGATTGCAATGAATTTGTAGAGCAATATGGGAAGTATTCTGATCTAGCTATATTTCGTCTTCTAATTAATGACTACAGAATGATTTTCCATTTGTTCCAATTTTTAAATTTTGTTCAGCTGTGCTTTGTATTTCTTAGTGTAGAAGCCCTGAACTTCTTTTGTTAAATTTTTTATAAGTCTTTTATTTTATTTGGTTTTATTGTAAATGGAATTGTTTGCTCAATTTAACTTTTTGATTGTTTATTGCTAGTGTATAGAAACATGATTATTTTTTGTATACTGATAGTGTATCCTATAGCCTTGCTGAACCCAGCAGTTCAACTAGATTTTTAGTGAATTCTCCAGGATTTCCTTTGTACAAGGTAATGTCTTCTGTTTATAGAGATAGTTTTACTACTTCCTTCTCAATTTAAATAACTTTTCCTTAATTTTTGCCCAATTATCCTGGCTGGAACCTCTCAATACAATGTTTAATAGATGTGGGAAGAGAAGACATTCTTGCCTTGTTCCAGAATTTAGTAGAAAAGCATTCAGCTTTTCACCATTAAGTGTTAAGCAAGCTTTTCACCATTAACTATTTTATCATACTTAATTTCCTCAGACTGAGGAAATTATCTTCTGTTTCTAGTTTGTTGAGTGTGTTTGTTATGGAAGACTATTGGATTTTTGACAATTTTAATTCTATTGAGATGATCATATGTTTTTGATTTTGTTCTTTTTATATAGTGTATTACACTGACTTGTATTACATTAGGCCAAACTTGCTTACATTCCATAAGTTCTGACTGGTTATGATGTATAGTTCTTCCCATATGCTGTTGGATTCAGTTTGCTAATATTTCTCTGGGGTTTGTACATTTATATTCACAAGAGATTGTCTATATACCTTTTTTTCCTGTGATATCTTTGTCTGGTTTTACTATCAGGGTAATACTGAGCTCATTGAATGAGTTAGGAATTATTCCATGCTGCCTAGTTCCTGGATGATTTTATAAAGGATTGCTATTAATTCTTCTTTAGATTTTTATGTCTTAAAGATTTTATTTATCTGTCAGAGATTGAGAGAGCACAAGCAGGGGAGTGGCAGGCAGGGGGAGAGGGAGAAGCAGGCTTCCCACTGAGCAAGGAGCCCAATGCAGATTCGATTCCAGAACCCTGGGATCATGGCCTAAGCCAAAGGCAGACGCCTAACCAACTGAGACACCCAGGTATCCCTCTTCTTTAGATATTTAACAGAAGTTCTGTGGTCTTGAGTTTTCCCTTATAAAGTTTTAAAATTACTAATTTAACCTCTTTACTTTTTGTAGGTCTATTCAGATTTTCTATTTCTTCTTGAATAAGATTAAGTAATATGTGTCATTCTATATATTTGTCCATTTCATCTAAGACATTCCACTTTTTGGAATGTATTCATAATACTTCCTTATTATCCTTTAATTTCTCTGAGTAGTAATGTCCCCTCTTTCATACCTTATTTTAATAATTTGATTCTCCTTTTTGCTTCATCCTTTGGAGCCAAGATACTTCTTTCTTAAATTATTTATTTATTTATTTATCAGAGAGAGAGAGAGAAAGACAGAGAAAGAGAGCACACAAGCCAAGCAGTATTGCTGTGGGAGTAGGGGGCATGGCAGAGAGAAAGAGAAGGAGAGAATCTCAAGCAGACTCGGTGCTGAGTCAGGACTGGACTTGGGGCTGGATCTCATGATGATGAGATCATGACCTGAGCCAAAACCCAGAGTCCAAAGCTTGACTAACTGAGCCACCCAGGTGTCCCACAGCCAGTATACTTTTAATTACAAATCACAGACAACCAAATATAAATATCTCAAATGATATAAAATTTTTAATTTTGTGCCCACTTTTATATTGGATTATTTGTCCTTTTATCAATTAATTGTAATATTCTTTTTATTGTCTCTAGGTTTTTTTTGTTTGTTTGTTTGTTTTTGAAAGGAGCATTGAGACTAGAATGCAGGTTTTTTTTTTTTTTTGGACTAGAAAATGAATCAATTAATCAAAATAATATTTGAATCACCTGAAGGAAATAAACTTTAAGTCTGAAAAGTATAATAAATAATTAAATTAATTAAAATATAGTAAAATCACAGTAAAAATATAAATGTACTTGAAGAAGCTCCAGTCCTGTTGTGCTAGTATTAGCATGTCAGAACTTTTGTCTCTTGTTCATTTTTCTCTCTAGAGCCACAAATACACACATGGTATATATTTATTTGTATATATACACTATACCATTATTTTTCCTCCCAGTGATAGCTATGAAAACACTATTTATAAGGTACAATGAGAATATATATATATATATATTTTGAGGATTACATGAACTTTACAGAATGTATTCAAAGTACCCAAACTGTCAGTAATTATTACTAATCTCATCATGGTATTACTTGGATAATTTCTTTTTCTTTTTTTTTTTTTTTAAAGATTTACGTATTTATTTATTTGAGAGAGAGAGAGCACACACACATGCCCATGAGTCGGCTAGAGTGCAAGGTTGGAAGGGGTTAAGGAGCAGAAGGAGAGGCAGCGAGAATCTTAAGCAGACTCCACACTGAGTGCAGAGCCTGATGGGGGGCTTGCTCCCATGACCCTGAGAGCATGACCTAATCCAAAACCAAGACTTGGACACTAAACCGACTGTGCCACCCAGGCATGCTGGGAATGGCCAGTAATTCCTGTACCAGCGGATGAAACATTACTCTACACTTTGCTGTGAAAAAAGGGAGATGGCGGGGGGAGGAGGGTGCAGAGGGGGTCAATGCTCAGAGACAAAGACCCTTTGCTCTTCCTTGTTCCCACCTTTATTGGTCCTTCAGGATAATTGTAAATCTTTATCACTGTTTCTCAAGCAAGTAATGTGTGACGGGCAGTCTTCCTGTAACTAGGAGGATCTGTTTGCTGGAATGATACGATATGCTAATCTGCATGTTCAAGGAGTTCTGCTAAACATAGACTGAGGGACAATGCATGCATTATGGATCACAGGGTGTCTGTTTGGGCTGAGGAAGCTTCGGGAAGGCAACTCTCCGCAGCATTCTCAGGGCAGAGCAGTCACGCAGGTGTCCATATGCCAAAGGCCCACGCCCTTCTCCCAAACCTTCCCTCAGTGGCCTTTCATATTCACCCTCATGTTACCGTTCAGCAAGCCGTATTATTTCATGCCTTCATGCTCTACATTAACCCCAACACAGGCGCCCTGAGGTTACTTGGATAATTTAATGATGATGTCATGAAAATAGCTCAATTATTCTTGCCCTATTTCATTATTTTAAAAAATTTTGTATTTCAATAGAATCTTAAAAATCTAAAGTAATTCATATATTTCAAGAATTTTTAGGCATTCTGTATGTAGTTGGTAAATTGATAAAAGGATCATAGATAGCTTACTTGTATGTTTCTGATCCCTAAACACCTAAGAGTGGAATCCAACTTTCCCAGTTTCTGAAACCTTTTTAGGAATTTTAAGCCCTGGACTCTCATCCATCCCTTGATCCACTGGGTGTGCCCCTGCATCACAGCAGCACGTGGCTCAAGCCACACTCCTGGAAGTTGTGCACTGAAACCGATCTAAAAATACCCTAGCAAGCTTCTTGGTTGTGCTCTTTGGTTCTCTTTCACAACTGGATCAGAAAATGTCACCTAAAAAGATCAGCATGTTAATTCACTGACCTTATCCCTCTTAACATAGTTAGAATAAGGAGAGAATAAAAACCAAGATTTGGTTTATTCAGATAAACAATTATTTTAAGGAGAGATAACATTGTCATGGTAGTAGGGAGTATAACCAGAGGATAAACAGGGATATCAACAAAATGGTTAATTAAGACATAATTTATTTCTCTATTACTTACTTACCAAAATGGAGTCATAGGGCATGAATATATAGAACATGTATATCTCAGGGTTTTTTAGTAGCTGTGTTTTTAAATTATGTTCAGATTTATTGATAGAGAACAACATGTTTTGCCCTTTTTTGCATTAATAGTTTCCAAATTATTAATGCATAAATTAACTTACATGAATGACATTTAAGGAATTATTCATCTTTAATTGAATTTATCCTTTAGCACATACTTTAAAGTAAATGTAAAGGCCTCTGGAACAAATAGCACCTGGATCCCAATAAGTACTAAGAAGTACCAGACAGAATGAATGAGTAAGGACAGTCTTTAGACATTAGATATGCATTTCTCCTATCTCAGAAACGATTGCTGGAATCAAGTAAAATGATATAACATTGAGTATTTTCAAAGTATGAAATGCTAACCAAACGTGAAGTCATAAAATGACACACTATTTTCTGGAAAGTGTACTCTTACGTTGCTTCCATATGCTAGCAGAAAAATAAGAAAAATATTTTTTCAGAAACCAATTTGCATATGTGATTTAAGACCCCTTTACATTGTAGTGGAAAATTTTAGGACACAATGTGGGGGGGAAATGTGACATTTGATGTCATCACAAAGACCTATTTTTACCAACTAATGCATTTATTTTACAACCAATTAGGAAAATTTACATGTATAGAAGTGCGATTCCATCTTGAACGACAAATGGGATACTACCTGATCCAGATGTACATTCCCAGTCTCCTGATCGTTATTCTCTCCTGGGTTTCATTCTGGATCAATATGGATGCTGCGCCAGCCAGGGTAGCCTTGGGAATAACTACTGTGCTGACCATGACCACCCAGAGCTCGGGATCGCGAGCGTCCTTACCAAAGGTAAGTGTACTAAATGGACACACACTCATATTTGCACAAATATTTATAGATATTTAATACTTTTACATAGAAAATTCATATATATACAATTATCAACTTTTGTCTTACTGCATGGATGTGTTATAGTAATATGCTTACTCACTATTAGGACTTACACAATAATAAATATTTATATGATGAATGTTATATTCATGAATATATACGTGTGTGTGTATAGCTTTACATATATTTTGCGTTTTTTCCTTAGTATAAATTCTTACAACTGGAATCACTACACTGATGACCATACGTACAGATACGTATTGCCAAATATCCCTCCAGAAAAATTTACAGCAGTTACACTCCCACAAGTATTGTATAAAGGTGCCCATAATGCTGTGGATAGCACTTATTTTTTTTTTTTAAGTTTTTTTTTTTTTTTTTTTGACAGAAAGAGATCACAAGTAGGCAGAGAGGCAGGCAGCGAGAGAGGAGGAAGCAGGCTCCATGCTGAGCAGAGAGCCCGATGTGGGGCTCAGTCCCAGGACCCTGGGATCATGACCCAAGCTGAAGGCAGAGGCTTTAACCCACTGAGCCACCCAGGCGCCCCAGCACTTATTATTTTTATGGATTTTTTCCCCCCTTTTGGCTTTTAAGTTGCCATAGGTCAATGAAAAGGAAAGCTTATCTAATATCATGATTTTAGTCCATGTGGAGCTGTCAGAATTAAAATAAACTGTTCTCTCTATGAGGTTTGTAAAAAAACCCCAATATTCCTTTTTACAACGTATGCTGTAATAAAACATAGGAAGCTCTTTTAATCCATTTAGCAAATAGCAATAGAATTATTTTCCTCATGGATGACTTCTAAGAAAAATTTCTGCTATCTAAATTAAGTAATCCTGTCTAGCTTCCAACAAGCTTCACTATTATTTTCATTACAATGATGTAGATATAGTAAAATTATATTAACTTTCCTTCTGCATTTGATGCTATATACTTGTAATGCCAAGTGAATTATAAGTCTATTGTCATGGTTTCCTTAACTCCTACATTGAATTGCATTGCATGATTCGATTTATTAGGATAAAGTACCTAAATAAACAAAAGTTGATGGCAGGACATTTTATCACTAAAAAGTTACTTCAGATAGGAAAAACTTGATATTTAACAATGTTCACACTGCCTAGATAAAATTTAATGGCTGTCTTGCAAAATAAAATTACTTTTATTAATAATTGAATTTTCAACTTAATACTTAATTTCCACTTCAACTAGTGCTTTATAAAATATTGTTCAGGTGAAAATTACAAATTTATTTATAATATTAATAAGTCCCAATGCTTACATATATATATGAATATCTCAAGGATTCTGAATAATAGTTGAAGTTCCATAGTCGGTTTGTAAAGGAAATTGCCAGTTTACTCATTGATTTTCCCCAAATGCTAAACAGAAATGAAGGCTCATTCATTCAATAAGTTGTCAACCAGAGAAGAGAACAAAATGCTTCCTTTCAGAAAGCTACAGCTTCTATGAGGCAGAGTATAAAGACATTTGAATACAAACATTAAGGCAGAATTAGGAGAGCATGGAGATCAGAGTGAAGGAGGCAGAAACAAAGAAAGCAACACATTAAAAAAAACAAACAAACAGGATGAAGACATAAGTTTTTTGTTTTTGTTTTTTAAAGGAAAGAAAATCTTGGAATGGCTTCATTTTCTTAAGACATAGGAAAGATTTTTAAAAATCATTAATTTCACTCTGATTTCAGGGAAGGAATAAATTTTCAACTATGAGCTCAATTATATACCTAAGTGTACACAAATCCTCTATATTTCTCAGATCATAGAGACAATGACCACTGGAAATGTGATAACAGATTTATGTCTGACACACAAAAATAATTCATTAACAAAATGATATCTTAAGAGAGAGTGACCATATCATTTTAGGTTTGTTGTGTTGGTTTTTTTTAAGATTTTTTATTTATTCGTTTAAGAGAAATAGAGAGAGCATAAGCAGGAGGAGAGGCAGAGGGAGAGGGAGAAGCAGACCCCCCCCCCCCCCCCCCGCCGGGGGGGGGGGGGGGGGGGGGGGGGAGACCCCCCCCCCCCCCCCCCCACTGAGCTAGGAGACTGATGTGGGGCTTGATCCCAAGACCTGGAGATCATGACCTGAGCCAAAGGCAGATGTCTAACCACCAGAGCCACCCGAGCCACCCAAGCGCCCTCATTTTAGGTTTTGTGATAGTTAGGGAATGGGAGGTTGAGCATATTCAGCTATGTACATTAGAATTCAGGAATATTCAGGAAGACACTGAAGACCCAGGATAAACAAGAAGAATTAATCTATTGGAAAGGACAATTCCAAAAGGTAGAAAAATCTAAAAAATGCAATTCTGATTCTGTGATTTGGTGGGGCTAGAAAGGCAAGAGGTGAGGGGCCACACTTGCCTTTAGGAACAGATGGCTAAATCATATACCTTATGATCCGCTCTATTCTCAACCTCACAAAAGAACCCTCAGATACCTAAAAGTCTTGCCACTGAAATTATCCATCATCCTCTTACTGACGAAATCTAGGAAGTAGGAAAACAAAATGAAATTCAGGAAACCAATAGAAGATGATCAGACAGAGGAGGACGAAACAGTAAATCATTAGTTTATTATAACTGCTTAGTATTTTGTCTAGGCTGTATGCCAATACGTCTCCTGCAGGATACAAAGGAGTTTGGAAATCAGTCAAGTAAAACTTAGGGTAGAAAATCTCAAAGGATATACCTTAAACAGCACCTTGAGAACTACAGAGCTCAGATTCCTCTCTGATATTTCCTCCTGCATTGTCCTTTACAGTGTCATAATAAATCAAGCATGTTATGGCCCAAACCAAGAAGATTCCTGTGATTCAATTATTGGAATATGGAGCTCTTTGACATTCCTGTGGTGCCTGCATTAGGTGACCAGGAGAGGATGACAATACTTCTATCGCCAGCAATTTTTCATAGTTGTATAAAGCTAGGGACACCCCCTAACACTGTGTGCTTAGAACACAACGAGTGAGAAAAAATGGTGATCGTGGAGCCATGTCAATGGAGGGTTTTCTAAACCTTGATAAAGATCAGGTTTATTTTGATTGGACTTAAGGAGATTCTAAAGAGAGAAGTAATCATTCTGATTTTTATTTGAAGATCAGATAGAAGGGTGAACGTGGAAGCAGAGAAACTGCCAAGCAAGCTATCAGAGTCTAGAGCAGACGTTGGTCTGTCTAGATTGGCAACAGTAGAGGTGGAAAATAGGAGATAAATTTAGAAAGAGGTGGGTATTTTAAAGAAAACATTTGGAAGTGAAACAGAATTTGCTCATGAACTGGACCTGGAGGAGTAAGGGAAAGGCAGGAGTCCATGGCGGCATTTGGGTAAATAAGACTTTGCCATATTAGTAAATACTCAAGAAAACAAGAAGAGGAAAAAAGGTATGGAGAGAGGAACGAGAGAAGGATTCCTGGAAAGTTCTATGTGAATTTCTCCTACTTTGCTCCGACCAACATGGCCACCTCATTTCTAAATGTTAGAAAATAAGAAACACTTGAAATTGCAAATGTGGATAATCAGTTAAATACTTCACAGACACCCAGAAGCCTGTAGCCTATGAAAATCTCAAATTCTGCACCAAAAGCTATTTATCTCAAATAATTTCTTTTAACTTTTTTCCCCATTCAGTTTGTCTGTGAAACCCATCAGGAGTAGATTTTTGAGAGAACAAAAGGTCTTTTACATGTTTCTATCCTCAGAACTTAAATCATACCATGTATGTGTCTACTGAGTAAATATCATGCATATATTTAAAGACAAGAACTTTTAAACATTTACTTAGTCGTCTGTCATTTTTTTCATATCTTTCTAAAAGAATATAAAAACTCAATTGAGTTACTTTTGTGTAGAACCATATTTTTCCCCTGAAAATCACCAGATTAATGAAAAAAATTAAAATGTTGTATGTATTTACCTTATAGTATAATGAAAACATTAGTTTTAGAAGACACAACAACAATAGCTTTTATATTGTTTTCTCTTCCTAAAGACATCAATTATAGAAGTGATTATAAATGTTAGAAAATATCAATTGAACTATTATATTTTTATTTAGATACCATCGCTGTGTGGGCACACAAAATCTCTATGTGAGATTACACTGAAAAGACAGGGATGTGAAGAAAACTGGAAGACCTATACTGACTATTGTGTTCTTATCTAGTTAATACTCATTCTCAAAAAACAAACAAACAAACAAAAAACCCCTGCACTTTTAAAGGAGAGTAAGCTGTAAATGTTGGCAGTAATATAAATGAGGGGGGAGGGGCTACATAATAATCTTATTAATACAACAATAACTGTTACTGTCAGTAATGTTTTGGTCCTCACCATTTAAGTGCAACATTCTAATATTTATTCTAAATATAATTAACTAAAATTATTTCAGTTAAGTTCAGTACAAATATGGTACAAGTTGGTTCATTTATAATTTTTTTTTTTAAAGATTTTATTTATTTATTTGACAGATAGAGATAGGCTGAGAGGCAGTCAGAGAGAGAGAGAGGAGGATGCAGGCTCCCCGCTGAGCAGAGAGCCCGATGTGGGGCTCGATCCCAGGACCCTGGGATCATGACCTGAGCCGAAGGCAGAGGCTTTAACCCACTGAGCCACCCAGGTGCCCCTCATTTTTAATTTCTTAATGTGACAGAATTTTAATAATCATATGTAAGTTATAATACCATATTTGATGTGAGCAATAGATTTAATTTTTTAAAAATGCATTGAATATACTAATAATTTAGTTTCATATTAAATCCACTTAGGGAAAAGAGAGAAAAAGAAAAAAGTATAGAAAATGAAAGAATCATTTATTCATTCCCTTTTTGTTAAAAATCACAGACTATAATGCATGTGAATGTAATCCAAATTTATTAGTGTTTTATCTATTATCTGTAAACAGATAATTCCTAAACATAAGGTAGGTCCT